GACAGGGTCTCACTGTATAGTTGAGACTGACCTGGAACTCACTATGTAGCCCAGGCTGGTCTCGAACTCTCAAACTCATAGCAATCCTCCCAAGTGCTGGAAATACAGGCAAGCTCCACCACATCTGGCTTTTTTGTTGTTGTTGTTGTTACCCACATAGGTTTTAAATGCCACTGCTTGTATTTGTTAAGATACAGGTAAAGTTTCCCAAAAGAATTAGAAAGTAGATACTGGAACATCGAGAAATTGCCTGCTGTCTGCACAGTTATTTAGGATGGTGAAATTGGGAAATTTAAGGGACAGGAAAACACTGCCACCTTGCTTGAAGGTAAGGGACATTCATTAACATTTCTTTTCCGTACCCAAGATTCCTAGCATGGTATTTGACACACAGAACAGGCTCATTAAATATGTTTTGGATTTAAGAATTCACAATCATCTTTCAGAGAGTTGTGTCCACCTGTCAAGAATGAAAACTGATATATTGGAGAAAGGTTTAGCTGGACTTAGATTTCAAAGAAACTGCCTCACTCCATGACTTGATGTAAAATACTTAAAATACACCCAGCAGAATATCAGATCAAGAAGCACTTATTGGGCCAAGGAACTAATTAATTTATCTTTTTAGAGTCCCGTTATTCGCCTCACTTGTGCAGCTGAGCTCTGTTGGCTTGGCCACTGGGCTAGGGAGAGACGCAAGGCACAGACCAGCAGAGGTTACAACAGGGAACTTGGTCATTTTCTCAGAAGGAGGCCTGGGCTGACAGTGTACTTCAGGGGTACAGACCTTGCAAAGTGTGCATGAGTCCCGGGGTTCAATCCCCTACACCACAGGAAAAACAAAACCAAAACAGAAATAAAGTGGAGCTATGCAAAGGTAAACTAATCTTGAAAAATTAAATTCTTAACAGATTTATTGCTGAGTCAGAACAAAACTCACATCCTTGGAAAAGATGTTCTAGACAAAGATAGCAAACTCTCTTCCTAATTGTACTATGTGATTGTCATAGAACATGTATAAAATACAGCAAAGAATAAGAGAAAATCGAATTCCGTCATATCCACCCCTGGAAAGTATTATTTGGATATATTTGTTTTCAATCTTTTTTCCCGTGTATAAGTATGTTTATAAAATTAAAATCATTACATTTCTAATTTTGTATTTAACTCTTACATCTCACATTGTAGCATAAAGAAGTTTCCAGTCTTAATAAACATTCTTTGGAAATACTGTGTTGATGACAAATACCTATTCTATTCTGCTCTATTCTATTCTTATTGCTCTTCTAAACACACTAATGACAATCCTTTTACATAAGTCTTGTCCACATTCTGATTATGTTCTTAAGGGTAGCTTCCTAGAAAGCAGAAAGAACAGCACCACCTTTGTGACTTCAAATACAGCTTGAGAAAAGCTGTAGTTAGAGCTTACATCTTCCCACCTTCAAGTGCCATGATCCATGTCTCGGGCCTTGAGGGGCTCTGGAGCCCTGGGCTCCAGGCCCATAAAATCACTGAACTTCTCTTTCAGAGTTGCATAAATTTCCTGGCTTCTAAAGGAGAGAGAACTTTTCCAGTATATATTCCCTAAGTCATGGGTAAAAGGAAAGGAAGGCATATTATCCTTGAAAGAGAAAGTGATATATTTTTCAGCAATGTGATCTCATTCCACACACCTTTGAAGGACTAGTATTCATGCAAGGCTTATTTGGGTTCATAAAATGTGCTTTACAATAACTTTTTGTTGGTGGTATTTGAGATTTGTTTTTATAGATAGTTTTCACTTTGGGAGAATCTCATTATAAAATTATCTCTAAAAATAAACACATTATGTCAAGGGGCCTAGAGAAAAATTTTGTTTTTACCAAAATTAGAAAATTCATCTGAACTTTATGAAATAAAATAGCTTCATCCTCAATTTTAGTGAGAATGCATTGTGTAATATGTAATTATATACTATAATACATGTGCAAATGAATACACAGCAGTATGTAATTATATACACAAATGGACAGCAATCTGAAGTTTACAAAATTTTTTCTAACCATTACCCATTTCAATATTCATAGAGAACAGTAGGCATGACTGGTATTACCTCAGCTTTGTTGTTGAAATTCAAGAGGTTTAAGGTTAAGTGAGTTTCCAGCTCACCTTCTCTTACTGGTTGCTCTATAGTTCTGTTCACCTCAACTCTGCAGTTTCCCTAAGCTCCTGAGAAAATTTAGCAGCTGCTGAATCAACCTTGGTCTCAGTTGCATCTGTCTTGCAGAACATGAAGAAATCTCTTTCCTGCCCTTCAAAGAGATATTATAAAAGCAAACATATCAATATGAAGTGGATTCACACGCACACACATGCGCACACCCTCTTTATCACAAGGATTGAGGAGATTGATAGCCACATTAGGGATAGGAAAGCTTTCACTAAAGAGGACACAAGCAGATTTAGATTTAAAAATTAAAATTGCAGAATCCCTACCATGTCTTGTTTATACTCTGGCTGTTCAAATTTTAGCCAGATGTCAAAATGAGAATTTTTCTTCTCATCAACAACCCTTGAAAGACTCATTCAAAAAACTATAAAAGTGGTATGCATGGATAAAACTTTGAAATAAGTAAATTTAAAAAAAGCTAACTAAAAACCCCAAACATGCTGAATGTGAAGATAAAGCAGAATGGCTGTCAGGTGATAACATAAAGTACAAACTTGGGCACCTGCATTTCCAGAGCCCATCTCAGAAAGTGGATGTGTAAACCATACTGAAGGCCCGAATTTTCCTGATCCTCTATATATCTGTAACAAAAAGGCAGACATATTTCATGTATTGTCACTCCTCATAGCCCCAGCTTATATGAGACTGTGTGTTAAACAACTTCTGGAATTTCGCCCATTGAAATCTTTAAAATAGTGAACACTGACAAAATCTAATGCAATCTGAAACACAGTGAACATATAAAGTGCATGGAAAATACTTCCTGATGGGGTGGTGACAACACAGGGGACATTTGTCTACAGACCGCTGGACCTGCCTCAGACTCGGCCCCCACAGTGCAGGTGGCATCTTTAATCTTGCAAAGCTCAGATCTTTATTAAAATGAACACAGAACTCTTCTGATAGACGTTACCTCTCCAAGCAAATAATATGAAGACAAACTTGACTTCTCAGGGTACAGGCTGGAGGACTCACGCCTCTGAGACTCAGAGCCTTGAAGGACACAGAGCTCCCCTTCCCAGCAGTACAACCTAAGCCTGCCCAGCTGAGAGGAAGATCTCCTTTACCAATTTTCTTTTTTAAATTTTTTACTGTATGTGTTTAAGGTGTACATGCCACTTTGATATAGATATGACTACTGGAATAATTATTCCTGGTAAGAAAATTAACATACCCATCACCTTCATTAGTTAGTTATCTTTTCCCCCGTTTTGTGGTAAGAGCAAATAAAATCTATTCTCTGCAGTTTTCTTAAAGGCTTCCAGATGTGTCTATTTTGAAAGTTCTTTAGTGGAGGGCACCGCTCCTGACATTGAGGCTTTACCTTTTCAATAAGTATATATATATATATGTGTATGTTGGTTTATTTCTTAAAGGGAATTCTTTCTCCTTTATTCCTTCCATCCTCTCTTCCTTTTCTTTCTTTCAAAAGTACGAAATAGCAGGTTGCAGGAGTGAGCCTTTTGTCCCTGCTGCTTGCCGTAGGGTGGCTGGTACCCTCTATAGTGTAAGTGGGTGGTTAGCAATACTGCTAATGCTGCCCTATTTGCAGCTCCATGAGAAACTTATTTTAATCAGCACATTTATTTTAATGAATAAAGAGAACTAAATATCCCTCTAACACTACACACACACACACACACACACACACACACACACAAGTGCAGGTACACAGAATCATCCAATAAGTCAGCTTTTCCAGTGAAGTTCTGAGATCTGTCACAAATCAAACCTTCTCCACACCCTAATGCTAAGATGTACCCTGGTTTCTTCCTCTCCTTCCTCCCTGCTCCACCTTTCAGGGGTTCCTCGCACATCCCCAGGCTGTCTAATGGGTCTGAAGATGTACCATGGGATCTAATGCTGTGGGAACTTGTGCAGTGGCTGGCCCTGTAACAAGAGACTGATGACTTGGCCAGAGCCTCCCTTTCTTTAGCATTTGTCTCAGTCATGTTGGAGCAGCCAGGGTCAACAGCACTGGCTTTACCTTTTAGTTCTTTCCTTCCCTCACAGGTAGGCTCTGCATGCACCCTAAGACCTATGCTACAGCTCACAAAAGATTTCAACTGAGAGTTCAATTTTAGCTGACTCTAGTAATGAGATTTCAAACATTTGACCTGGGGAAGCTTTGGGACAGGGCTCCACCCACAAAGGTGATGGCCATCATAGCTTGCCTGGGCTGTGGCACCTGGCTTCTCGCCTCTCCTTCACCACCAGGCACAGCCAGAGCCACCTCCCTCTCAGCAGCCTCCCCAGCAAACCTGCAGAGGCCTTGGGAAGCTCACAGACCAGGGAGGCAGATCGAAGAGCCACCAGATGCTGCGAACACACACAGGCTTCCTCCTTGATGGGGCCCAGTGCTCCCACAAGTACAACCACGCTCTCCACTTTACTTTTGATTCAAATGACCACTCTCCCAAGAACACAGCGTATCAGGGCAGCTGCTCCATGGCCAGTATTCCCTAGACCTTCCCCTCAACTCAGTCAGAAATGCAAGGTGTGCGCTAGAGAAGGGTGTGAAGACAATTGATGTGAAAATAGAATGTTGTTTCATAGCCACCTCTTGTCCATCCTCACTGACAATTAGTCTTGAGGTGTCTTTGTGTATATATACCTGTGCAAGTTCATGTGTGTGGTATGTGTACACGTGTGTTGTGTGTGTGCATGTATGTGTGTGCATGAACACCTGTGGGTGTGTACACATCTGTCTGTTCCCTGGCACTCATGATCTTGCTGTGGGTGTGCATATTACATTGATATGAATGGTACCTAGACTTCTCCTCCACAGCACCTTGGGCTCCCCTCAACATTGTCTCCTTAACTGCACTGCATCATGGAGAAAGACCAGCCACAACCAGAGGGGCTTATGCTGTTGCTGCTGCATGGATGAACACCTGAGCAATGTGACTGTGAGAAGACCCGGGTCTCCCCATTCGCCCGTCGGATGCCCCCTCCCTCAGTTAGGCGAGTCACTTCCTTCAAGCTTCAGTTATTCTGGTGTGAGTGGGTACCATAAAACCTGCTGTGGGAATCAATGTCTGGAAAGTATCAGCACAGTGCCTGGTGTGTAGCAAATGTCGTGAGCCATGGAGGGACCTAGAAAGCGTATGATGAGAACACAGAACTGTCCTTCATGTGCCCAGCTCACTGACTATCTGTGTGACACAGAACGGCCAGACCCCTAGTTTCTGAGTGGACTTAAACACACTGTGCAAGGGGAGATTCAGTCAGACTTCATGGCAAAAAGCCTGCAGTTGAGGCCAACTCTGCCTTTAGTGAAACCCAGAGCAGCAGGCCTCCCCCAGCTGACAGGCTTGCCCTGGCTAGGGGCTGCTCACCTGAGCCGCCCCATTGTTCTGATGTTCATCAGAGCCCCACTTCCTGTGCAGAGCAGGAAGGTGCTCTGTCTCCTTTATTTATCACTTGCATTTCAGCAAAGGGACACACAGACAGACAGCAGAGGGATACACTCCAACCTGTGCCCTGTTCCCAGGTGGTACAGGCAGCCGGGGGCCAGGAGGCAGGTTGCCTGGGCAGTAGAGGTTTGGCGCCTGCACCCACCCTCCCCACTACTCCCCAACACTGACTCTTTTGCTTTGCACACAGCAGGAATTTCAGGACAGCTTTCAGGGCTGGGGCTTGGGTCAGAGTGGGGCAATGCAGTGGAAATAAAAGCAATCCTGTCAGCAAGGCTGCATTTTACAATCTAAAGGGACATCTTGCGCTCTGGGGACAGAAAGGCAAAAGAACCTCCCCACACCTCCCTGGGCTTCCTGGCTCTGTTTTCCTGGCAGTGGAGCTGGCTGTTGGTGTCTTTGGGGGGCTGCATGGGGCTCTCCTGGGGATCTATAGGATGTATGGGAATTTAGTGGTAGGCTAGGGAGAAAAGGTCCATCCTGGTGATGCTCTTGTGACTGGGGTGCCCAAATAAACCCAGCCACTGACAAAATAACCACTCGATCCCGCTCCTCTCTTCAAAGGCGAATTTAGAAGAAACTTCTCGCTGTCCAAGTCATCGTTTGCTTACCAGGCCCCATTTCAGTGATCAGCTGGAAGGTAATGTTTCACAGACCACATGTTGAAATGTTCACCTCCCTCGCTGTTTATGGAAAGGCATCGCCCGAGGTTACCAAGGGAGCCCAGCTCCTCCAGGGGGTCGGCCTGTGAGGGGCAGGGGCGGGAGGTCGCTCCCTCCTGCAGGAATCTGAGGCTCTGAGTCCAGTGTGTGGGTGGCAGATGGCCTGGCTGGCGGGGAAGTGCGCGTGTGAAGGCGGCCACCCAAGACTCCGGGTCACAGCTCGGATCTCCGCACCGGGAGGGCACCTGCTGGCTCTGCCAAAACAAACCAGCCCCTGTGAGGGGCACACGGCAGAGGAAGCGGGGCTCCGCGGGCAGCCGGCCTACACTTGAACAGTCTCAAGTAACCAGTCCCGGAGGATGCTGTGTTCCTGGGCGTTGGACAGTGAGCCGCTGAGCTTGGGGAGCCAGGGCGGGGAGAGCTGCCACGCACCGCCGCCGAGTCTAGGATCCAGCCAGCTGCGGCCCTTGCTCCGGTGGTCCTCAGCTCACAGGACCCTGAACTGCTGTTTGTTGTCTTTAGGCCTGAGACTCCATCTGGTTTTGATTCAGGTGGCCTCGGGCTTGCCTCAGAGGTGAAAAGGGTGCGCGCTCAAATTGACTTTCTCACCGATTTCAACCCAGAAGAATCCCAGCCTCCCCCCACACACAAAGCCTGCTGCCTGGGCAGCCCCTGGCCCTTGCAGGCTGGCATAAATCAATTTCACCTGCTTGGCTAAGTGTGCACATGTTCGCCTAATGAAAGCAACTGTGCAATCAGATAGCTCTGCACGTGTTCCCATGTGAAGGCTGGGAGCGGGACTGGCCTCGCACTGACCTGTGTCCCGGGAGGACCGTTGGTGGACCAGGCTCAGGCTGGGCAGTTCTCATATGGAGCGCTGGCCTACGTCGCCACCAAACATGACTGAGAAGGAAGCTTTACGTCTAAGTGTGGTGAGCAGTGGCGCCCCAACGTGAGCCATTCAAGTCACAATCACCTCTGAGGTTTCGAATGAAAAATACATGCAAGATCAAGCGTTGAAAAGAGCGCTCACCATCAGCCTGGGTGAGGCAGGGATGACCGTCTCTCAGCAGGAGGGGCTGGACTGAAGCACCTGCTCACTGAGAAAGTTCCCTTAAGAACATTAAATAGACTCATCTTTGATCTAAAAAGGTAACATTTGTATGTTTAAGTGCTGCATGGTCATCCTTGGGAACTATAGTTTGTCCCTCCGGTTACCTCTCCTTATCAAAAATTATGAGCCAAAGGAAGGAACGACTGGAATCCAGGGGCCTCAGTGTAGCTCAGTGGTACAGCAGCTGCTTACAGGCCCCAGGCCCTGGGCTTGTGCCCAGCATCCCCGACACACACTCAGAATCTGGAATAGGGCTGTACAATCTGCAGCTGGTGGGCTGGATCCTGCTCACAGCTTGCTTTCACCAATAAAGTTTTATTATAATCCTCCCACACAATTTGCTGACATACTGTCTGCACTGCTTTCTTAAGGGCAGTGGTTAGGGGTTATGTCAGTGACTGGGAAGCTGAAAATATCTGCTGTGTGGTCCTCAACTGAAAAGAGCCAACTATGCACTGCAATTCTGCTTTCTTTCAGCTGAGGGATGATGTTAGCCCTCTTTTGTAAAGTGTAATCAAAGTCAACAACTAAAATCCCGGCCTGTGGGGAGAGGGGATTGGAGTCGAGGCAGAGTCCCTGGGTGAGGCGGAAGCACAGTGGTCTCTAGCAGTCATTTCATGAATTATTCTCGCACCCAAGTGAAAAAGAACCTTATTTCCTATTCAGAAAAACAGCTGTCCGCCCCAGAGTCAAGCACAGGGATAACATCTGGAAAGGGCCCAGCACTAGGCATAATCTTGGTATGCTCAGTTTTCAACATTCACCGACTGGACTGTTTTCATGCCGCTCTGTCCTCCAGCCACATTTTGGGAGGGTGGTGCCAGTGTCATCGGGGCTTTTAAAGGCTTCCGATGTGAAAAGCAGCTTGAAGTGATGCTATCTCTGCGGGAAAAGCAGACCCGGGCAGAGGTCAGCCATTTGAAGTTCTGATTTCAAGAGGGAAGTGGGAGGAAGTGTGGAAAATAAAGCTGGCATCTGCCTGGGGATGGATGCTAAATTCTCCTGCGACTTGGCTGTTTCCCTATAGCAGGCAGAGAGCAGCCTGATTCCGGGTTCACTGTGTGACAAGTGGACCACACAAAACAAAGAAGGGCAATACTATGCACTAACACTGCTGCCCTTGATAAGCTCTCCGGGGTACAATTTCAAGGAGCAAGTTAATGGCCTCACTACAAAAGAGTCCCAGGGGTCCCTGAAGCTTGACCCCCAAACTTGAACTCTACCTGAACTGATTTTTTTCATTTTCCCCCCTTTTGAGGTTTGAAAACATTTAATCAACTCCCCTCCCAGGACATTTGATTTCTGTGTACTCCTGCACTTCTGGGCTCCATCTGGGGGAAGAAGTGCCAAAACCACCATTGGAAAGGCTGCCCTGGAGGTATTTTCAGTCCGGCTAGAAGCAGCAGGTAACGGAAATCTTATGAGACAGCTTGTTCTCAGGAGGGTTTCCTGTCCAGTTTTGCTGACCAAAGCATTCCCTGGGTTTGGATAAACTTTGGCTTAGCAAGTGCACTTTGAGAGGCTGCCTGTGGGTTCAAATTGCAACCCTCTACTCTTGTAGTTTTTCCATCCTGGTTCTGTCCCTTGGCATGAGCTTTCTGGTCTCCTTAAAGCTCTCAGCTTCTCATTTAGGAACTCTGGGTTATGACTGCCTTGATTACCCAATTGCTTTTGAATCCAGTCATGGAGTATCCACGGGGCACAAATAAGATCCCTGCCCTACAACTGAGCTGGGGATGGAGCCTGATATCCCCGAATTCAAGGCATTCAACCTGGCAGCAAAGGCAGGCACACTTGAGCACAGCCACAACACAGGATGGTGATGGATAAACAGTTGATAACTGCTTATTTTTCAAGTAATGGACTACATAATTATTTCTCCCAAATATCAGTTGTTTTAGGTAGTGATTTGATTCAGCTTATTTATATAAATAGACTGGGAAATGGTAGGTATAATTCATGCAAGCCACATTTAATAGATTGCTGGCATCTCCCTGGCTCTCTGTTGAGAAGGATTCTGAGGTGCATTAGGTCCCAACAGGAGTGGTACTATGGTAGCCTGGTTGTTGCTGATGCCTGTGTGGAAGGGGAATGACCTGCATGTATGAATACTCCAGTCCTAAAGATGCTACCGCCCAAGAATCCATCTAGGCAGGGTTACTGCTCAAGCACAGACTTCCAGGCCCAATTCGGAGCACAGCAGCCTCCCTTTGTAATACGGATCCTTCTTACCCTGATGTGTGTGAGCACTGTGAGTCAAATGCTAGCTCCTGAAACAGAAAGAAAGCTTAGAGGAAAAGTTAGAGAAAACTAGATGCTAGAATACTGATGTCCACGCAGAGCCCCCAGTGTGATTTTATAAAAAGCTTCTACTGTGTCCAGATGCTCTACCCCCAAATAACGAAAATGAAGTCTTGCCACAACTTTGTTGTGAGACTGAACGTGAGTTGCAGCCTGTCAGTAAGTATGGTCAGGGATTATTCTCAAACTTCAGATTTACCAAACAAGACCTGGGGAATTTTTCAGAGAAACCATAGTACACCCAGAGATGAACAAGAACTGGGCAATATTTAGAAACTGTAGTACACCCAGAGGTGTGGCAAAAGCATGCTTGTTGAGAAATTAAATTTTTGGTTAATTCTGGAAGACTGAAGGCTCAG